TGTGTATAAGAGGTACTTAACTATATTCCGAAGCAAAAGTAAGTGAACAGAAATTAAAAATCAAAACATGATTAGTAAAACCATCAAAGGGCCAGGCATGGTGGCTCACACCTATAATCCCAGCACTTTAGGAGGCCAAGGAGGGTGGATCACCTGAGGCTAGGAGTTCTAAGACCAGCCTGGTCAACAAGGTGAAATCCATCTCTATTAAAAATACAAAAATTAGCCAGGTATGGTGGCAAACGCCTGTAATTCTAGCTACTCAGGAGGCTGAGGCAGGAGAATCGCTTGAACCTGGAAGGCAGAGGTTGTAGTGAACCGAGATTGTGCCACTGCACTCTAGCCTGAGTGACAGAACAAGACTGTCTCCAAAAAAATAAAATAAAACCAGCAAATTACAGAAATAACAAAATCTAAAAGGCTATCAGAAAACGTGAAAAGGCTTTAAAAATACGTAACGGTTTCCACAAGGTGACTAAGTTACGTCTTCAGAAAAAATGGGCTATGCCTGCATTAACCTGTCTGTAACCTAAAATACTAAGGCCTTACCCAAACATATAGTTTGTTAAAATGAAATTCACTTTTTGAATACTGAAAATGAGAAAAATAAAATTTTTTTCAAAAAAATAATTTTGGCCAGGCACAGTGGCTCACGCTTGTAATCCTAGCACTTTGGGAGACCAAGACGGGCAGATCACCTGAAGTCGGGAGTTCGAGACCAGGCCGACCAACATGGAGAAACCCCCTCTAATAAAAATACAAAATTAGCTCGGTATGGTAACGTATGCCTGTAATCCCAGCTACTCGGGAGGCTGAGGCAGGAGAATCACTTGAAGCCAGGTTGCGGTAAGCCAGGATTGCACCATTGCACTCCAGCCTAGGCAACAAGAGCAAAACTCCACCTCAAAAATAAATAAATAAACACAATTTCACTGCATCCTGTCAGAAGAGAATTTAACCAATGGTCTGGGGACTGGAATTTATTAACCTGAAGCCACTACTACTAGATAAACAAACACAATTTCACTGCATCCTGTCAGAAGAGAATTTAACCAGTGGTCTGGGGACTGGAATTTATTAACCCGAAGCCACTACTACTAGATAAATAAACACAATTTCACTGCATCCTGTCAGAAGAGAATTTAACCAATGGTCTGGGGACTGGAATTTATTAACCTGAAGCCACTTCTACTAGAAAATACTAGAAGTTATTTGGTGAGGGCAGTGAGCAACCTACTAAATGAATGCCTGGTTCATGTAACAGATGCCTCATTTAAAGATGAAGGTGCCACACTTTCAGAGCTGGACATTAAAATCATGTACTAACTGCCCTTCCTTTGATAAGCACAAATAAAAATCAAGATTTTATTATTAGAATTCATCTTCATAAAAGAGGGCCTCACCTTATATTCTACTAAATAATCTCTCTTATAAAGGGCAGTCTCCAAATTTCTTTATTTGGAAAACAATGATGATTTAATAATGTGAAATAACCTTCAGCCAAACAAGTTTTAGATGTTTATAGATGTCACATAACACAATTTCTTTTTTAAAAAGGGAAATGAAGCTTTAACAATTACCTTTAGGATAAAACTTCCTAAGAATTAGATGTTGTAGACAAACTTTTATTTATTTTTTCTGTGTGCATGCAATAGGGTCACCCTATGTTAACCAGGCTGCAGCGCAGTGGCATGATCACAGCTCACTACAGTCTCAACCTCCCAGGCTCAAGTGATCCTCCCACCTGAGCCTCTCGAGTAGCTAAGACTACAGACATGCACCATCACATCTGGCTAATTTTTAAATCTTTTGTTGAGATAGGGTCTCCCTATGTTGCCCAGGCTGGTCTCAAACTCCTGGGCTCAAGCAATCCTCGCACCTCAGCCTCCTCAAGTTCTAGGATCACTGGGCACAGTGACTCATGCCTGTAATTCCAGCACTTTGGGAGGTCAAGGTGGGAGGATCACCTGAGGTTAGGAGTTCGAGACCAGCCTGGTCAACACGGAGAAACCCCATCTATACTGAAAATACAAAAATCAGCTGAGTCATGGTGGGCTCCTGTAATCTCAGCTACTCAGGAGGCGGAGGCAGAAGAATCATTGGAACCCAGCAGGCAGAGGTTGCAGTGAGCTGAGATCGCGCCATTGCACTCCAGCCTGGGTAACAAGAGTGAAACTCTGTCTCAAAAACAAAAAAAACAAAACAAAAAAAAAAAATTCTGTTTCACTCATCTTGTCTAATCATTACATAAATACAAAGAACAAGCTATATACCTTGATATTAAGTTTCATACTTTGAGTAAAAACTTCATTGAAAAGGTAATAAATTATATACACTAATTTTTAGTCAAAAAATTAAGTATTGCTTTTATTTTTTTACCCTCAATGAAAATTATATGTGCACACGTCATACTTTTATTTTTTTAAGACAGAGTCTTGCTCTGTTGTACAGGCCGAAGTGGTATAATCTTAGCTAACTGCAACCTCTGCCTCCCGGGTTCAAGCAATTCTTGCCTCAGCCTCTCTAACAGGTGGGATTGCAGGCGTGTGCCATCACACCCAGATAATTTTTTTATTTCTTCTTTTGTATTTTTAGTAGAGTCAGGGTTTCGCCATGTTGCCCAGGGTGGTCTCAAACTCCTGAACTCGTGATCCACCTAAATCGCTCTCCCAAAGTTCTAGGATTACAGGCGTGAGCCACTGTGCCCAGCCTATGCTTTATTTTTAAAAATTAGCTGTTGCTGGGCGCGGTGGCTCA